GAGGGAGGGAGAGAGAGAGAGAAGGAGATTAAGAATTGGCTTATGCAATTTTGGAGTCTGGCTGAGCAACTCTGAAATTTGCAAGGCAGGCTAAAGGCAGGCTGAAAACTCTCAGGCCAGGAGCTAACACTGTTATCCACAGGTGGAATTTCTTCTGCCTCAGAAAGCCCTCAGTTTTGTTCTTAAGGCCTGTCACTGGTTAAATGAGGCCCACCTAGATTATCAACTATAATCTCCTTTCTGTAAAGTCACCTGACTGCAAATGTCAAACACATCTACAAAACACCTTCACAGCAACACCTAGATCCGTATGTGGTTCAATAAAGTGGCCTCACCATGTTGGCACATAAAACTAACCCTCCCAATCGGTAACCCCACCAGGATTTGAGCCAAGCCTCTGACTCCTAGCTTTAATTCCAGGGCATTGTGATACACTGCCTTACCACTAATACTCGTGGAATGACTAAAAATGGAAGAATGGATGCTATGAAAGTGGATGACTGTTGCTCTTCCTGAAATAACTGCCAACCTTCCCTGTCATCTGTCCCAGCCTTGTTGAATACCTCAATTTGTAATGTGTGTCCAGGACTCTGAGAAGAGCTGTTTAAAATACATTTGGAAAGAAATTTAATGTGTGAAGCCTACTAATTTTGTGACCAGAGGTCTCTCTCTGTATATTAGGGATTTGTGGCAGAAAACCCCCAAACGGAATTTCAGCACATCTGAATTCAAATGTCTGGTTGTCTGACAATAGGATTGGCAGCCTAACAACTTCCAAGCTGACATGTCTTACTTTCCTGGGGAAAGTGACTAAAAGCAATTTACACATTCCTGAGGGTGGAGCGTGTCTTTTCTTTGCCTGCTATGGAGAGCACAGTAACCAATGCCAAGGTAGAGACTCAGGAAGTTTTCTCCATACCCTCCTTAGCCTGATTCAAAAGTTGAAGTCTGAACATCACACTTCTTTTTATCATTCCTTCTCCTTTTTCCTCTGCTTGAAGGCTGCTGTCTTTCTTCCTAACACTTCCAATCCATGCCCTTGTCCGTATAGTGTCAGGAATCCATGACGCACAGTGGGCGCTGATTAAACCTCTGAGGACATGAGCTTTTTCCTTTGCTCATCGGTTTTCCATTTCTGTTCCCTTTCCTTTTGAACCAATTGACTATTAGGTTCCGTAGAGTAAGCTTTTGAATAGGAAAATCTGGAAATACTACCTACCTGAGAATTACTACCTGAAAATGAACACAGTGTATTGTCACTGAGGCTACTGCTAATTGTTTCTACTTCTCTCGGGTCCTCCAGAGCGTTACTTAAATTTGTTACTCAATTTCCTTTAACAACAAAAAGAGTGCAGTTGAATTCAGTAAATATATACTAAGTGTCTGCCCCACAGAAAACACACCAGAAGATAAAGAGTTGAACAGGGTGCAGGCCCTTGAAAAGCTTCAACTCTAACGGGAGAAACAAGTACGTAAACGGAGGGTAGGTTTCCATAAGGGGAGCTGAGACAACGGGCATTTGTGAGGAAAATATTTCAGACTTCTCTGTAGGTACTGGGGATCCAGCTAGTGGTTAACAGATAAAATAATTCCCCCCGTGGAGGGAGGGGCCTGACAATAAACAAATGATTATAAATAAGAATGTCAGTGCAGACAACCCAGACTAATAGGACAGAGAGTGACAGGGTTGCACGTGATTATTTTATGCTTGGTGATTAAGCACACCCTCTCACATGAGGTGATATTTGAGCTTAGACTTGAATTTCAAGAAGCAGCGATTTGGGGCTAAGTGGATTCCACACAGATGGTACAACAAATGTGAAGGCTCAGAGGAGATTATGTGTCAGCTGTTCAAGGAAAAGAAAGAAGACCTGTGAACAGGAATATAAAAGCAAAGAATGAAGTAGGGGGTGAATTGAGGAGGCGCCAGACACCACATTCCTGGAGCCCGTGGGAGCCACCGTGGGGTTATAAGCAGGGGGTGGTATGATCTGATTTATACTTTCAGATGATCATGATGGTGCAGAGTGAAGGATGTTTCATGTGGGTCATATGTGGAAATAGGGAGACCAGTTAGGGGTCTGCTTTGGTCCAGAACAAGTGGTTGCTTGGATAAGAGTGGCCCTTGGGGAATGGTGAGGAGTTCTGAGAACGTGAGAGATATATTTGGTAATAGAATTGACAGGAGTTGCTGATGGGTAGATGGATGGTGGGAGGAGGGAAAAGAAGGAATCGAGGCGACCCCCTATGTTTCTGTCCCAGGCAACATGGTACATGATGCTGCCACTCACTGAACTGGGAAGCTCCTCGGGGTGTCCTGATTATCACAGGAAGCTAGAAGCACATTCCGTACATGGAGAGACGCATGGATAAGGCCTGGCGTGAAGGGAGAGAGCCGAACTCTCAGAAAATATCGGGCTGGAAGACTGTGTACATTGTTGGGAAGCTGGGAGGCACTGAGGCTGGAAGGTCAAGGTCGTATCCTGAGGCCTATAACACTGAGGGCCATGAATGTCATAGGGGAGGGGTGAAAAGAGGATCCGGCAAGGGAGCCACAAATAATGCAAAAAAAAATTTTTTTTAAAGGAAAACTGGAAAAGTCTCACACACAGACTTAGTCGCTGCCTTAATACACCCAGAAACTGAAGGGACCCAATTGGGCAACTCGAAAGCCATACAGACTGAACACAAAGAGTGCCTAGAAACCATCAAGAACTGCCAAAGCCGTGTCAGGGCCCTTAGAGGTAACTTGTATGTCCCCGTTTCCTCTATGCTGCTCTGCATAGCAGAAAAATGGGGGCCTATTTATTTAAGACTGACACAGTAAAGGGCCCATTTCCTGAAAATCTTATTTGCGATCCAGAATTTTAGGGCACATCCTGGACAACAAAGATGGCTATAGAGAATATGCTATTTGAAACTCTCAATAACATTGCAAAGTGTACCTAAAATATTTCAGTTTAAAGAGAATGTTATCTAATTCCTCCCCCCAACCCCCAACACACACACACACACACACACACACACACACACACACACACACACACACACTATTGAAACACTTCATCAAAAACAGGGCAATGATTGTCAAGGGGAGAAGGACAGCCCACACTGGCTCTTCACCACTGGACTGCATCAAAATGACCTGAGGAGCCATTCAAACCCCACATCTACCTTCCGGAATTGCTGTCCTACCCCAGCACTCATGAATCATATAAGACTCCCCATCCACGCAGAAAAATAGAAGACGGAGTACCTCTGAATGAGGGGTTCCTTTAGGTGTTTGCTTTCTGTCCATTTGAGTCACCAATATGCAATTTTGTATCCGTTGGCAGAGCCTAAGGAAAAGAAAAATGGATCAGACAGGTTTTTGAAACCAAATTATTGCCTTTCTGACAGATGCCACTGCGTTGCTTACAAGTATTTTTCCCATTAAGTTTTAGCGAGTACAAAGGGCTACAGTAAATAACCTTTCATCTGCAGAAGCTTTTCAAGGAACAAATAAGGAATAATGCAAAGTAATCCAGGGAGAAGTTTAAAGAGAGATTGTATTACCTGAATTCCAAGTAATGAAGGGAAGGTAGAAAACTGAATACAATTTCTTTCTGGGGGTATCATCCTCTCTAATATATATTTTACATGCAATTTTTTATGTTATTGTAAATAATTAAGCCTACTTGAATTAGAAAAAATATATATGAGATTACATTTGAGGCAGCAAAAAAAAAAATCTAAGAATAAGTAACCGTACCTTGATACATTTAGGAAGGTTTTATTATCAAATAGTTAATGGATAATTCAGTTTCTTAGTTTGCATTTTTCTTTTCTGGGCTAGATAAGAGAGATAGATAATTTCTCTGGCATACGATGGTAACTTGTGGTATTTAAATTGTTTTAAAGTTCAACTAAGTTGTTTTCTTTTTTTTTTTTCATGCAATAAGAACTACATTTCGAGGGGAAGTTAGGAAACCTCATAATTTTGCACATGAAAAAGAAACATGAAGACCAGGAGGATGCTGGAAGTTTCAATGGTTTGAAATAAGCCGTGCATAGCTAATCAGTAAGAAAATCCTGGATTACAACTAAACCATAACCGACGAATATAAATGAACACAAAGCGTGTGAGTGATTCTTGCTGGAAAAAAATTTTTGAATTATCAAGTAGTTTTCCAAAAATTGAAAAATAGAAGACACTCAATTCTTGGCAGTACACAGCCTTGATTAGATGTATCTGTGTGTCAGTCAACCAGAACACACAATAGAATAATTTAGGTTCGTTCTCTCGCAGTCTACAAGCATCATCATTTTCACATGGAAACTTGGCAATGTCACACCTCATTTCTCAGCAGACTTAAGAGCATTGTGCAGTCTTGAGGTGTTTTGAATCACCTTTCCAAAATGAATCCCAGTGCATCTCCACTCTCCTTACAAATCGTTATTCCGTACAATTAAAGTGAAACTGCACTTGTCAAAACAAGGTAACAAGTCTGGTGCAGTAGCCCTAGATTCCTTTTTGATCATCCTTGGTCACCTGCTCACAAAGTTTGCCACTTGAGCTATCCGCAATGCCACCCCAATCTTTATTAGTGAGTTAGTTATTGCCACCTTAAAACCTGAACAATTAGTTTCAAACAAAACTCAATGTTTAATGAAGCAGTAATAATGTACTAGAAATAAAACTTCAGAAATCTTACAATTTTTGACTTTCTGTTTTGGGGGACTTTATGATGATAAAATAAAACCAATACCTAATTTGGAATTTACAGTGTTTGGGGGAAGGCGATAGATTCACATGAGTACCCACAGACTGAATGGCTTCGCTCTTTTCCAAAATACCAGTTGGGCTGTGCCAGGCTCACGGATTTCTGTGGCTTAACATAACAAAGCTTACTCCTCACTCATGCTAAGGCCTGATGTGACAGTGGGGGCTCTGCCCTGTATTGTCAAGGACCCTAGTGAGCACAGGTACCATCTGAAAACTTGCCCCCCACATCATTTCTGTTCACATTTCATGGCAAAAGAAAGTCGCAGAGCAATGCCCACCCACAAAGGGAGAGTGGGGAAGTACCTATCTACTATGTGCCTGGAAGAGGAAGAACCAGAATAATCATGAAACAGTTCTTGTGGCAACCAAATCCAAAGATGGTTGAGTGGCCACTGAAGGGCAAGTTCTTTGATAATCCCCAGAGCAAACATGACGTTAGGGAATCATCTTAGATTCTGTATCTTACCTCTCCTTAGGGGCTACCTATTTCCAATCCTGTGGTGATCGTTTTATGCAATGTTCAATATTCCACATAGAGAAAAACTGAAATCACCAATAACCAAGTAAATATGAATCACAGAAGAAAACCGTGTATTTCAAGAAGAATCCTGGGTACCCATTCTCCCCTTCGGATCTCCTTCTTACACACTGATGAAGGAGCAAGTGGCACCCTGTCACGTCTGTGTGGGAGCTGCCAGTAACCAGACATGTAGTCTGGGATTCCAAAATTGAGATGTAAATTTTAAAGCTCTCCAAAATAATTACATTCACTTACATTTGCAAATAAAAAAAGACAGATGTTATCTCTCTACACTGATAGGTGCCACAGAATGTGCTAATGTACACAGGTTCCTCCTTATACAAGATACACAGCATTATATTTTGAGATCTGACACATGAAGCTCTTTCCCAAAGGTACAGGTAGGCGCAGGACATTCACTTTGCCAAAGAGGCTCAAGGTTCTAGTGTAGAGGACCATGTGTTCATGACAGGTGCATTTAGTGGCCATCATGCCTTCATATTCTTTATAAGTGATTGAGCCAACGGGCTCAGGGGTCAACCCACTCAAAGGGCTACATTCGTCAGGCACACATGACAGCTTCGGCGCTGAGGAGCCCAACTTATTCTCCCAGATGATGCTCTGCACCGTGGTGTCACCTGGAGAGCCATACCGCCCGTGATGTTCACAAGCAGGAAGTTCTGTATCTGACCATTTGCAACAACCATTCTGATGCAGCTGTTTTATCCAGGGAGACATAGATGGCTATTTTGACACAACCACTTTGACACGGTCTTGTCAAAATTGGAAAGGCAACATGTAATCACATTCTCCTCTTGTCAACATGTATTTAACAGACATTCCCAACCATCCTAAGCTTCACTTCATCAACAAACTATACTCTAGGGAATCACACCAAAATGGAAACACTGTTTGCTTGGGTGTTATTTTTATCCTGTAATAATTTATACAATATTACCATTGGCCTTCATCCTAACCCTGAATATGTCCCCATTCTTTAATGGCAAGTCTTCTCTTGTGTGTTTGCACAGAGTTTAACACTACGCATCCTTCTCATCCCACCCCAGGGCCTGTGCCTTCCCGGTACTCTTCCCCACTGCTGTTGCCTAGACTCAACATTTACAGTCATTGAAAATGATCTGTAATAAGTTTTTATTATCTATAAATCCCTGCTTTGCCCTCCCAGGAGATTTGGTAAACTATTAAAAATAATTGGCACTCATTAAGAACTGGGCCAAAGATTGATGGAATAATTTCACAATCAATCCATGGGAAATTGTGAGCTGCTCTTCTCAGGCATATGAGGAGAATTTTATCTTTGTATCCTTTTTCTTTTTTGTGGAAAGAATTTCGTCTTTCCACAGTCAAAATTGTTCTATGGCTTCTAACATATTACAATGGCCATCTGGTCTTTCTTTTGTAGCGTTTGTGTCCTTTGTCTCTTCCATATTACACTCTGTACATGCCATCAACCAGTTTCCAAGTGTTTGCACCATTGATAGATGCCTTCAGCTAGAAGATCACCTGCTATAATTAATCATTAACTTATTATGAAATGACTTAAAATGACATGGAAATAATGGAGCTTGACAGTGTCTTTGATCCTTTGTGTACGTGTGTCTGGAGAGTGTGGATATGGGCATGTAATAGATGGATCGATATACAGAATCTTCCAACCAATTTTAAATTGGATGCAGTTGCTTGATTTCATTGTCTTCTAAGACTTTAAAAGTACATTTCAGTTGATAATAAAAATACAGAATTTTACTTTTTGAGAAGACCCTAAAAGGATAGTGCATAGGGTGATGCTCACAGATATCAGAGATAAATATTTCAAAACATTACCTAGTGATAAACAATAGAGTTAAAAATAAGGAAAAAACTTAGCAATGGGACAAAGGCCAGAAATAGAATATATACTGCTTTGGTGCACATTTTTCATTAAGTATATAAATGAGTTCAGTGGTTTTGTTCTTTCTCGCACACTAAAATACCTCTAAGTCAAAAATTCTGCTTTAAAAATGTGGATCGTATTTCTTATGTAGGCTTCTATGTCTGAGTAACAATTTTTCAATTATCTGTGGTCTAGCCTCAATGTGTTTAAGTGTTTGGGAGGGTATTCGAAAATGAGACAGACCCTGGCCCAAAAATCTCATCAACAAAAGTGGGAGGCAAGCGCCACACAAGGTGGAGAGTCCCTAGGCCAGGAGGCTGGTTCTTTGACTTCGGAGTGGAAAGCTCATGTAACAGACCTACGCCAGTGTTCTAGAGCAGCGGTTCTCAACCTTCCTAATGCCGCGACCCCTTAATACAGTGCCTCATGTTGTGGTGACCCCCAACCATAAAATTATTTTCGTTGCTACTCTATAACTGTAATTTTGCTACTGTTATGAATCGTAATGTAAATATTTTTTTGTTTTCCGATGGTCTTAGGCGACCCCTGTGAAAGGGTCGTTCAGCTCCCAAAGGGCTCACAACCCACAGGTTGAGAACCGCTGTTCTAGAGGTTCCCAGCATCAAAAAGAAATGCATACCTCTTCTTATATATGATTATTCTTTGGAGATGGGATTTGGTTCATCATTCAGAAGAAACTGAAAGCTGAGTCTACCAGGCAAGCTGAGGTGTGAATTCTTCCACATTCATTTTCTGAGTCCATGATATGTGATCTTCAAAATATCAAATTTACGCAGAACACACTCTGGGCTGAGCTGTGCGCATATGTTGATGTGCCAACAGTTCTGGCCAAAGAAAGAATGGCTGCCTGCGACCGGAGGCATCGATGCCTGGGAGACATCCCAGCCTCCAAGGCTACTTGACTTAAAACGTGGTTGGCAAGAAGAAAAGCCTGATCCTTATCCCGCGCCTTCACCAGCTCTGTTCTGTTTCCTGAGTTGTCAGAGTTCAGCCTGGCAGACCGAGAGCCTGCTCTTCAGAGGAAATCCGAACCATTAGCATGCCAAGTAACAGCCTCATTGCGCAGGCCTGAGCAGAGTGCTCCGCTCAGCTAAGTGGATGCCTGGCGGTTA